TAAATATTTATTAATTATGCACTATCATGGGCCTAGTCGAGGCATACCGGCTACAAGTGATCACAGTATAGAAGTCAAGTTGAGCTATACTAATTATAAGTGATCAACTTAAGAAAATATACAACATCAGGGACTTAGTCCCTAATTGAGTATCAGAGGAGCATAATATTTGGCGGGTATTTGTTGGACTAATCTCATAGGAGACTTAATTAAGCTAGCTAATGTTGTGGTAAGCTCATACTCAAATTGTTCTACCTTGATAGGAATCCTAGACTTCCTAATTTAAGTGGCAACACCTAAGAAACCTTGTTGTAGGGATTGATATCTTATTTGACTTTTGATCTAGTTGGTGTATGGGTTGTTGGTTTGATAAAGTCACGCCACTTAGATTACTCACTTGTGTTGCAAGAGATTTCCATAGTTGAAATGCGTAACAATACATTAGTTGATGGTTGAACATATGCTATATTGATTTAGTTGTGTTGTCTATATGCAATATTGGTAATACTGATTGTGTTGTGATGCTAAATTTAGTTGAATATGAAATTATATGATTATTACTCATATTTTTTATTGTTAATATTGAATCTTTGAATTCTAGCTTACCCTTACTTGTTTTCATGTTGTTTGATATGAGAGTAGAGTAAATACAAGTTTAAGATGTTGTAAACGGATGATGGAGTTGTTGTCTTTTGGAGGCTGCTCTTAGGTAGCTATTGTATAAATGTGCTTAATTGGCACCTAAGGCAACACTTTCGTTATTTAGATTATTGTATAGTTATATATACACATACACAAATATATATATATATATATATATATATATATATATATATATTGTTTCTTTTAGTTGTAAATATGCATGTATATTATAACTATTGAGTATCCAATAGTTGTTGTTATCCTTAGGGATATGATTATTTTTCATTGTCAATTGATGAGTCGTTGAGTGTACGGACTATGATAGGATGTCACAGACATAATCATTTACGAATTAAATATTAATATTTTAAACTAAATTATCAATAAATAAAAATGTTTTTATGAATTAAATATTTATATTCTAAAATATAATTTATATGTTTAAAAAGTCTATTTATAGGTGTAAAATAAAGTATATTATTTACATATATAGTTTATTGTGAATTTTAATTATATATTATATATAATAAATATGCATGTGTATTGTACTAGATAAAATATTAGTTATTTTTTCAATATAATCATTTTAAGCTATTTTTATTTAAAGATATTATTTTTAAAAATATTCTCAATTTTTTTTGTCTCTTTTAATTAATTATTCTTAATTTTATTTCTAAATTAAATTTTAATATTTTAAAAAGTTATCAATATTTTAAAATAATTTTGTATCAAGTATGTATTATTTACATAAAAATAAAATATAATTTAAAACTTAATAGTGGTTTTACTAAAAAAAAAAAACTTAAAAAGAGGTTATCATCAGTTATATATATATGTTTTTTTTATAAAAAAATGTGTGATATATTTAAAGCGAAAAAAGTAGTGGAAATAATAAGGCAGATGATAAACGCACCTCCACTCTCGTAAAAACACACCCCTTTTTTAAAAAAATATATAAAATGTCTAAATTACCCTTTTAAAAAAATGAAATTTCTAAATTTACATCTCCCTTCCCCGCACCCTCCTCCCGCACCTCCCTTTCCCGCACCCCCCTTATCCTGTATCTGCATGTAAACTTTAGTCTGGAACGACACCAGAACAGACCGTTCTGCAAGAAGAACGACCCATTCTGCTTGCAAAACTACCTGTTTTGCTTGCAAAACGACCCGTTCTGCTTTCAGAATGGCCCATGCTGCAAGCAGTACGGCCCGTTCTGCAAGTAGTACAGGCTGTTCTGCTTGCAGTACAGGCCGTACTGAAAGCAGTACAGGCCATTCTGGGGCCGTTCTGTTGTAATACAGGCCACCGCGTCACTTTTAAAATGGCTACCTTATGACTGATTTTAAAACCTCGATTTTAAAAGTCATTTTTGTACTAGTGTTTCTTTTCATAGAACAAGTAAGAGTATTTCTCTTACAAGACCACCTGCTGACATTGCGCACCCCTCTTCTTTCTCTTTGTGGCACTCCTCTTCTTCTTTTTTTTTTTTCCCGCACCTCGCACACCCCTCTTCTTTCTCTTTCTGGTACTCCTCTTCTTTTTTTTTTCCCGCACCTTGCACACCCTCTTCTTTCTCTTTCTGGCACTCCTCTTCTTCTTTTTTTTTCCTGCACCTCGCACACCCCTCTTCTTTCTCTTTCTGGTACTCCTCTTCTTCTTCTTCCTACTGTTACAGAAAGTTCTTTCCGGAATTATATAAAAATGTTCCGGAAAATACTTTCCAGAATATTAAATTCTTATTCCGGAAAGTATTTTCTGGAAATGTTTTGTTACATAATTCCGGAAAGTACTTTCCATAATATTAAAGCTACTATTACGGAAAGTTCTTTCCGGAATGCTAATGATTGTAAAAATACTCTTCGGAATGCTAATGATTGTAAAAGAGCCTTTTGTATGCTGGTTATGGTGGGGCTAGTCCTTTTTTCTATTCAGAATGACTGTAAAAGTATATTGCTTAATGACATTGAGCGAAAAGAGGCTTTGGAAAGAAGAGGGGTGTGAAGTGTGGGGTGCAGGGAAGGGGGGTGCGGAGAAGGGAGGTGTAAATTTAGGAATTTTATTTTTTTTAAAAGGATAATTTAGACATTTTATATATTTTTTTAAAAAGGGAGTGTGTTTATACGAGAGTAGAGGTGTGTTTATCATCAGCCAAATAATAATTGGTGGAAGGCCCAATAGTTTAGAAAGATAAAAGGCCCAATAAGTCACGGAAGAAACAAAAGGCCACAAAGCTAAACATACCAACAAGCTGATAGAGAAAATCCTATATATATAAAAGATGGAGGTTCACGGCCTCACTGACCCTCCGCAGTTGTAAGCAGCACAACATCGAGTGAGTCTCTCTCTCTCTCTCTGCATTCTTATGATGAAATCTTAAGCAAATTATTGATATCTCTTGATTGTGTGATTTAATGTGATTTGGTTAATTTAATGTGATTGTTGTTGTATGAAGGATAGGCGAAGAGGCAGCGAAAGCTTTGGTTCCCGAATCAGTGTTGAAGAAGCAAAACAGGAATGAGGTGTGGGCTTACACAAAGCTAAACATGATGAATGTGACACCCTCTACCCGCTTATCATAACACATAAATAATAAAATTAGAATATCGTAATCCTTCATTATTAAAAATACTAAATATGTTCAGATAGAGAGCACTATATCCATAACTTAAACAAATAACATAATCAGCGAAAATTACAAAGAAATAAAACTAAAGTTTTTAAAATAATTTAATAGAAATAACACGCTAATCTAATCATATCTACGCCCTGATGTCACATGTCCTATTAGAGCAAAACCCATATAGAAGCCTAAGCTTTATCACTAACATCCTCAGCCTCATGCTGATAATCATCTGTATAACGGTCAAAGGAAAGCAATACAAAGAAAATGGAGTGAGAAACATCTTACTTGGCTCACAGTGTAGGAATATACAACAGATAACCAAACAAACAAAACATGTATAACATAGATAAATTAATAACAATATCACATCTCACTCATCCAAGACATATAAATTTTTCATATAACATTAAAATGCACACGGACTACATTTTATCATGCATGTGGCGCCAGTAACATATCACATGACATATTGCCGCTAGTAATGCACGAAGAGTAATTTAGGAGTACATGTCGGGTCACACCCTTTGCACACTCTCACTAGAAGGATATACTACCAGAGTCTCGTCGGGATAGCTAAGCCGCGCAAGATACATCTCATGCACACAATGGGCGAGACTGAAACTTCAAAACCAAACTATCCCCAAGGACTAATCCCCAAAGCTTTTACACTAGGGGGCATTCTCTAGTGGTGTATTCCATATCGTACCCTTAAAAATATTTATGCACATGATGCATGTCAATCAAGACTCTGCATTCTCATATCACATTATTATCATCACATTTCATCATCACATTTCATCATCATATTCACATCATCATATTTCATCATCATATCTCATTATCACATTATCACATTATATGCACAATTCTCACAGAGCACTTTAATCCATATTAAAACTCATCTATTTGCGAAATTAAACACATATTCATTCATCTCATTCAACAAGGAATACATCAGAACAATCAAAAAGCAAAATAGAAAACATTCATATTTTGCATGTTTATCATAGGGTTCCCACAGGAACCCACGGAACACTCTAATCCATACAATAAACATTTAAAACAATACAATTAACTCATACAATTACCTCTTCAAACCATCTTCTCTTACAATCCCCCATGGATTCCCCCTTAGGGTTTCCTATAGGAACCTATAGAGATCTCAAATCATACAATTAATTACATATAAGAAAATAATAGGCGAAACAGATACAATTGGAGAAAATCCCTCATACATGAGCATACAAAAAAATACAACACACACAGGATTGAGGGCCAATCCCACTACCCAACAGATATTCCCACACCCAAAACGAGGTTTCTCACTCTCCCTTACCTATATAAGCAGGAGCTGAAACTAAAGTTAGATCTTGCTAGACCCCTCCTCTAGGTTCTCCCTTGGTCTTTAGAGAGTGTAGAAGAAAAAGAGGTGAAAAGTGAAAAATGTATTTTTGGAGTGACAGAGCGTTCTATTTATAAGCATCAATAGTCGCCAGAACGACCCGTTTTAAATCCGGAACGGCCCGTTTTAGACTCATACTTCATGTCCAAAATTCACATTTAGAATGACTCGTTCCAAAATTAGAACGGCCCGTTCTGCATGAGTTTCTACTCACAACAGCCACATTTGGAACGGCCCGTTCCAAATCGGAGCGGCCCGTTCTTTAAACAAGTCACTTCTGTCTCAACCTAAGTATTCTTTGACTTGCCTCTTCAAGCAAATACCCAAGTATTCTTTAAACATAAAGGCTCACCAGACTTTAAACAACCAAATATTCTTTTACAAATAAGTCTCTCTAAGCTCAAAGCAATAACATAAAGTTAAGATAACAAAGTGGTTTTTGTCTTACTATCAAGACGTAATACAACCAATTATGTACAAAGCTTTTTATAGAAAGAAAGAAATATACAATTGTGCTTATGTAAGTCTCTTCTTATGTGTATATCTCTTATTTTCTGAATCTTCAAACTTCTTTATATAGAAGTTTCACAAAGATGATTATTGCAAATCCTTGAGTGACTTTCATAGGCTTGCCTCGTCTTTCTTCATTTTGCGTTCTTTGTGAGAAGTGTCTGTTAGTGCAATAAATGTAAACATTAAATGTATTTTCATCAAATTGTTATTTCTTATTAGATCAAGGAAGTTTATTATCACCTTTTAGGTACCAAATAGAGGAAACATGTGTGTTAGTTCGAGAAAACTTTCTCTATAATTTTGTGTGTTTCAAGGGATATGCTAGTTCTTTTTTTCTTATGCGAAGCATGTTTTTTTGTTTCTCAGCTAAGCATGAGTATCGTATAACAACATAAATTGTTTATCATAAATCTAAAATATAATTTATATAATCAAAAATATGTATTCATTGTAAATTTTAGTTACATAAAATAATCATTTATCACACAAACTGAAATAGTAGTTTTACTACTCAAAACAGATAGAAGAACAAATTGATAAGTTATGTTAAATAAGGAATCAAACATAAATTTTGCCCAAAGTCCCATAATGTTTATATACACGGCCAGACTACTACAATAGAATACAAGGATGGAAATATTCTTCCATAAACATAATATTTATTCTACTTGAAAAAATTCTGATATGTCTAAATATTTGATTTGAAATAACATTTTGATCGTCATGCAAATTTTTCTTAATGAAGCCCATATCAATCGACACATTTACCATCCTCCCCCTCAAAAACCAATTTAAACCAGAAAATGGGGCTAATATAAAATGAAATTTATAGTCCTGCCACTAAGTAAAGGTATCTGAAATTTCACATTAACAGGTCATGAAGACTTACTTGACCGAGAACAAATCCATTGAATATTAAAGTGTTTTTCACTTTGATTGCATGGCCATTCTCGTCATGGCTCAGACCCAGTATGCTTCTACCTCGGAAATTGAGTACAAGCAAGACAGACACTTGGAACATTGCCTGAAAAATTCTAAACATCATTTGATGATTTAGATGCAATAAATACAACATTTGTATGATAACTGGAATGACGAAGTTTCAAAATCCTGTAGTTGGCTGCTAGGGGGTGAGCCAACTGATGAAAAATCAGTGCAAAGCAAACTACAATAATAAAAAGGGTACTAATAAATGAGAAACAGAATTCACCTGTATCAGCAAATTCCTCCACATAATGTTTGTTACGAGAGGTTCTTTGAAAAGCATATGTTCCTGCTTAGAAACACTCGTCCTGTTATTACTTTCTCTTGATTTTCTAAGTCTTCGGTATTGAGCGGATACTGTTCTCGAAGGGTGGGGAGAGTACCTGCAAAGGCATTCTGACGCTCAAGTGAGTATTCGGTATAGAGCAATAAAGACTTTTATACTAGATAATTATACATATTTCTGTCCCATCACCCACGTATTTATAATGACAGGTTTAGGTCTGCTTGAGCCTGATGGGCCTTCTATCTTGGGATATGGGTAATTGGAGATTATTGTCCTTCGATTAATTTCTAATCATTGATTAGTAAGAAGGGTTTTCCATGATCGCATGCTGACCTGTCGTTCAAATTCATGGCCAAATAGGTGTTTGGCTTTCTTATTGGCCAAGCAGGTGTTCAACTTTCCTATTGGCCGAATAGGTGTTCGACCTACCTATTGGTCGAATAGGTGCTCGGCTTTCCCGTTGGCCGAGTACACGTTCGGTCCCTCACTAGACTTGTTGGTCGTGTATCGTGGTCTATCGGTTATGCTTGTGGTCGAAAGGGTTTTCAGTCCCTTTCCAGGCCGATTGGATGTTCAGCCTCCGTACTGGCCGAAAGGGTATTCCCTGTACAGTACACTGCCCTCCCTAGCCCAAGAATTGATGACGAAGGGGTTTGAAATGCCAAAGGGTGTGTTCAGGCAATTACGTGAGATGCTCTCGAGAGTCATGTCCCTCGATGATGTGACCATTGCATGCTGCGCCGTCTTAGGGATGCGTGCCTTGACGTACAAGCATGGCTATTGACTCTAATGCGGCTCACAATGGTTGGATACAGCTTTATAACATGTGATACGGTTTGGATATGTTTTTTTACCCCAAATGTTCAATTCATTAATATTTTAAATTTTTATTTTTAATTTATAAATTTTTAAAGAAAAAAACATTTTAAAAGTTAATTTGCGTACTCTATAAAGACACATTTCTCTCTTTTTTTAACCAAGATTTTATATTTATATAAAATTTTCTATTTTCTTTAACGTATCTATAACATATCATATCCTTAATTTCAAAAAAAAAAAAAGTTTTGTATCCCCGGATTCATGTCATATCTGTGTCGTACTAAGTATCTAAGGCTTCATAGCCCATCACTCACAGACGCTTCCTGCAACTCCATGCATGCTTACAGAACTTCAGCTTTCATTAGCAGCTTAATGACTATTGGCAACTCTGTTTTTTTTTTTTTTTTTTGGGGGTGGGGGGGTGTAAGGTTAAGGTTCAGAGGCAGGAGTTTTTGCATGACTTAAGCTAGGTGGATTGTATTTCAAATGATTATCGATTATACTATTCAATTTTTGTATTCCTCGAGGGATATCACATCCGGGTCGCCCTCACTCTTTAAATATCTCTCTGCTATTAAAAAAAGCAGAAAAAGAATTGGCTTTCCAACAGTGTTGACACTTTTCCCAATTTTCCAACCAAGGTGTAAACAGTAAATAACATACATCAAACAATGCCATGACTTGAAGTACCCAGTAATAATCAGCAAAATAAAAGATCTGACCTTCGATCCACTGGAGGTCGATCCATGAGGTGATCAGTCGGTGGTTCGGTTGCCAGGGCTAGTGCTCCCAGAGTATCCATGATAAGATTTACCCAGAGAAGCTGTAAAGAAAGCAACAAATATTTTTTATGTCACCCCGACTTAATAAGTGGGTATAACCCAGAGAAAGAAAGAGAAAGTCAACCTGCACTGCATTTAATGGGACATCACCAGAAGAAACTGCAGCAACAACATTTATTACAAGAGCGGCAACATTTACTGTAAGCTGAAACTGGATAAATTTCTGAATATTTGCATACACGGACCTGCCCCATCTGACAACCTACAATCGTGGAGAAACATAATTGCCATTAACAGCTACACTTTAATTATTCAATGCACCTCGGCTCTATATAAACCTCTCATCTTACTGTCCGTATTCAAAAGTGCATTTTTACTTCTAGTAATGACAAAAAAACAGCCCTTCAAGAGGAGTTAACATACATCACTGGAAAGAACAAATCAAGATTTCTCATAGTACTAACCTTCACAACTGAAGAAAAATTGTCATCCAAAATAATGATATCAGAGCTCTCTTTTGCAACTTCTGTACCTTGAATACCCATTGCAAGACCTATATCCGCCTATATTCCAAATTCCAAAAGCAAAAAATAAAATCTAAGTTCACTACATTAATTCAAAAACTCCTCCATTGGAATGATAGTTCAAAACTTTGTAATTAAATAAAATGACCAAAATATCATGATTCTACAACAATATAAGATAGACATAACGGTCACATAATCAAAAAAAATGTACCATTACATTCAATGCATTATTGTCATAGGCACATACAACAATACAAACACAAGCCTTCAGAAAATTTAAATACTATGCAAACCTCATGAAGAGCAGGAGCATCATTTGTCCCATCCCCGGTTACAACCACAACATGACCCTTCCTCCTCAATGATTGTACTAGCAATAGTTTGTCATTGGGAGATGACCGTCCCATGACCTGTTGTTACACAGTATTGACAATAAATGCTATTTGCAAATAATATACCACTAAAAGAGCACAACTTGTTTTAGTACAGATACAGAAAAAAAAGCTGTCAAGAGAGAAATTAGATTCTACCGGTATCCTAATCCTCTCAGCAATTTCATCTCTTTGTGCATCTGACAATCCACGAAATGTTTTTCCTTCAATGATGTTTGGCTCCATAGCATCAGCAAATGGTATTCCACATTCCACAGCAATTGCTTTTGCAGTTTTCACATTGTCACCAGTGACCATTCTCACCTATTATTAGAAATCCAGACCACAAAAAAACTTGAAATCAATTGAAACGGCATTAGCAAAGCCTATTGCATATCTTAGTTTAAACATTTGCATGATATCAAAGGAAATCAAATAAAGCTAGTCTTGGTCTTTGAAATCTTAAAGGCATCAACTCAAAATTAAAAGCAACGACACACATTGGGTCAGCACAATGAAAAAAGGGTACTGCAAACACAATGCCCTTGCAAAGATCTTGAAACAAAAATAATATCTTTTTTTTTTTTTCAGATTCCTGAGAGCTTTTGGAATAAGTTGAAACAATTAATTCTCCCAAAAGAGAAAATTCCCAAACAAATGATAGGCAGGTTTCTAAAGAAATACATACCTTAAGACCAACAATAGCTAGTAAAATAAGATCATCTTCTGGTAAAGACCAGTGAGCAAGTAGATCTTCATTAGTTGGAACCTTCTCCTTTTCATATGATCTATATGCAATGGCAACACAACGTAAACTATCAGCAGCCATATCTTCAATAGCTTTTCGGAAAAATGTCATCTGCAAGACAGTAAAACTTTACTCAGCCCCTTCTCAAAAGACATTTATCTTAATGGACAAGAGCCATCCTAGCAGTTCATATACTAATTTTGCTTGCTTTGTTTTGGAATTGTATGTAACATATATATAACAACTTTAAAATTCTCTACTCGTGAAGAAACACATATTGATATAATCAGTTGCGATATCCCAATTTCCCTATTTATTAAATAGGCTAGTTCCTTTGGTATATTCAGATCTCATTGCTTGTATAGTACAAATTTCTGGATACTTTGAGTAAACAGTTAATCCACCCAAAATATAGAAATTCATTTATATAATGATGTGAATAAAAGTCAACAGGCTGGGATCTATTCTCTCAAGCAATTAACAAATCAATTCTCAAGTGAATCCAACAAAAGAACAGGAGACAGAAAAAACGGTTGTGTAAGGGGTCTGGTTTGAAATGATTTCCAATTTGAAGAAGATATCCCTAACCCCATAAAAAGAACTGCACATAAACTAATAGAAAAAATGCCTGTGTTTAATTGATGTTAATATGTAACATATTTGGCATATCAAACCTTCTCCTCATCCATTTCCACCAGTTGGTCATTTCCATCAATATACCCAGTACAGCAGGCTAGGACTATCTCAGCAGCACCTTTCCAGTGTATATGGATATCAGAGTCAGACTGCAAATAGGCATAAAATCAGCATCCCCTGTCAAACAGATATATTATATGTCTAAGAAAAATATTAGCTACCTAGCAATGTTTCAATTAGTCTAAAATAGAATCAAATATCTGCATAATTGAGTAAAATGCCAATAAGATTGTACCGTTTGCAAAGCAACTCCACCTCGTTTTTTCTCTGAATTGAATGGGAAAACATGAATAATTGACGATTCAGATCGTGCAGCCGTAAAATCCATCCCAAGCTAAGGTTTGATATAATAAATTGTAACTTGTAAGCACATATATTATATTAGCCCAAAATGAAAGGAGGGTCGAGGACTGCACTTCAAAAATATACCTTTAACCCCCAATGTAAAATTGCCTTTTCTGTTGGCGATCCAGAAACCTCCTTGACATCATTAGCATCCTGTGGAGAACAAAAATCAGAGAAAATTAGTAGAACCACCTAAGTTTATGCTCATGTGCATTTTCTCTTTTATATCCTTGTACCTCAGGTGCATAAACACTGCCAGTAGTGTTCTGAGCGACACCTTCAATGAGCAGAGAGCGAAGCAGAGGATAGGACTCCAACTTATGAGGAGGATGAATTTTCATACCCCCAGCATAAGCCTCAACCACAGTCATCTGTCTCATACAATTTACAAAAATTAACAGATCAAGAAAATCTGTTTTGTCTATGCCAAACAATGCCAACAATAATGAACTTCCTAAAATCCCATATTTATTGAATATCACATTGGATATATTAGTTGACTTTTTGAACTCCCAATTTATCTTAAAAAGTTGAAAGGATTCTAACATCAAATAAAATTTAAAAGCACGAATAAATCCCATTAAAAGAAACAATTACTAGAAATGCCTTCCAAGAAGTTGATGTAACTAGTTATAAAAATTATTATTTAATTGAACATTTCATGTACAGAACCACAAGTAACCTGATTCATAGTCAATGTGCCTGTCTTATCACTGCATATGGTTGTGGCAGAACCCATGGTCTCACACGCAGAAAGCCTCCTAACCTACAATTCAACGTGCGATAATAAAGACCTCCAAACGTGTTTATGTCAAAACCCAATAGAAGTACAAACATCAATTGTCATACCAAAGCTTTATCTGCCATCATTTTTCTCATCGAGTAGGCAAGCCTATAGAATAGTTTATGGAAAAAGGGTGTAAGTACAAATAAATAAGATTAGACAGAGAATACGAGGAAAAGTAAATATTTTACAAATGAAAAGGCACATTAACAATCTAATATGGATACAGATAATTTAAGAATGAGAAATTAAAATATTTGTGATAATGAAAAAATGGAACACAATGCATCATTCATAGATTCTATATTGGACCCTATGCGGGATTCATATGCATTTTTGGTAAAATAAATTAATTACAAAAATTAAGGAAGAAAGTTTGGTGAAAACAAAATACAAGAATAATGGCATTTATCCACAAAGTAACCATTGTTAAATCATATCAATTATTGATAGCAATAACAAGTGAATAAAACTAGGAAGTTCAGGTCAAAAATAGCAAACTTACGTCAAAGAAACTGCTAATGGGAGCCCCTCGGGTACAGCAACCACTACAATGGTGACCTAGATATTCATTAGGTTATAATCACTAAATAGATATTGCACAAATATAAATATGTATACACATCTTTAATAATTGCACAAAGCATGTTCTGGTAATCTAGTATTTATGCTTGCTGGCACATACCGCAACAGTTACTATCTTAATTGCACCATCAATAGCATCACCGACTTTAGTCTTGCCTGCTGTAAATTGAGCTGACCCATCTGAGTTTTTAGTATGCCTAGAGAAATATCTGCTAACACATTTCCACTTTAGAGGCATGAAGACTATAGTCAATCATTAAACCACAAAAATAGATGGAAACCATATGATAACAAGTTACCTGGCCAGTAGCACAATCAAGACAACAACAGCAACAGAGAGTCCAACAATGCCGATGAAAGTAGCTACACCATTTAAGCGAACCTAAATTGAAACTTGCATATGTGAATAAATAATAAGAAATAGAAAAACTCACTCAGAAACCACAACTAAGAAAAGGACCTGCAATGGTGTTTCTTCACCAGTATCTTCTGATATGCTAGCCATTAAAAGCCCCCATTCAGTATTAATACCAACACCCGTGACCTATGATAGTAAATAAACAAGTAAAAAAGTGGAATTAATATTGAATTATTGAAAGAAATTCAATAAAAGTCAACTTGTTTTATTGACTCCAAATTCTATCTGCATCATGTATTTTAATAACTAAAGTCAACCTAGAAACAAAATCCCTTCAAGAATAGCATGCACACAAGAAGCAAACAATCAACACCTTTTTCAAAACAAATAAAGAATGTAACATACTCCCAATGGCCCTTTTTAGAAGACCCTCTCTATTCTGTCTTAGATTTAAAAAAAAAAAATTTAACAAAAATCCCCTTAATTACTCTATTTTTTCCTAGTCAATGCACAATATATGTAATAAAGTAATTTTTTAGAATCTCTCATGACGATAGAACTAGGAGAAGATCATGAACTACCACTAAGTGGAGAATTCGGCCCCAATTAATTTATGGGTATTTCTGGAAAATTTAGAAATTGTTTGCAAATTTAATACCACAAACTAAATTACTGAATTCCGTAATTCTTGTCAAGTAATTGAAGGGGTCCTAAATAGAGAACCAGAAAATGAATAATCTATACCAATAGATAAAAGGAGTACATTGACGCTCAACTGCTTTTTGGCCTCTTTTCTACTAAGACTGTTTTATCCCTTTTTGGTGTGCACTTATTTAAACTATTTTACCTTTATAAACTACCTTTAAACTATTCTTTCTCTCTCACTATTTTTTATTTCACCGTGAACTTCACTCTTTAAAGTTCAAACCTCTCACACTTTTAAAGTAACCACTTACTCCATTATCTTTTTTTTTTATTACTTTATTTTAAAAATAGAGAACGCAGAGTGTTTTTTTCACTAGTATGCTATAAAATCCAATTAAGAAACACTTCCACTATTAGTGCACAGTTTATTAGACCTTGGGACAATTACGACCCATACTTCCATCCAAGTAAATATTAACGTGTTGTTATTTACTACCTCAACTATCCTTTGAAAGCTCTTCATTTGTAAATTATAATCAAGGCAGACTACAATTACAAAAATGAAAAGCAAAAAGAAGTATTAATTACCAGCATAGTGCCACTTCCATCTGCAACTTTACATCCAGACATCAGAAAAGGATCCTTAGAATCTTTATGGACCTACAAGAAACAAAATATGTTGCAGGAAAAAAATAATAATAATTCAAATTTCCAAGGAGATAGAGATAAATGCTTACAATTTTGCTCTCCCCTGTCATACTTGATTCATCAATTGCAAGACTGTGACCAGTGATCAGAATTCCATCAGCAGGGACCTAGAAAGAGCCAAAAAGAATTCAATAACAGAGTAAATGCAATCATCAAGTATGATAAGCAAAAAAAAGATAATAGAAAAAGATCATAATACCTGGTTACCAATATTAAGGGGTATAACATCCCCAACAACGATATTATATATAGAGATCTCAACCCTTCTACCACCTCTAATTACCTTTTCATGCATGCACACCAAATATAAGGTTAGAGATAGGACAAGAAAATTGATTTAAAGAAAACTGTAATTCAACAATCAAGTTTAACTGAGCAAAGCAAACCTCCAGGTGTATATTTCTCTTTTCTTCATTTAGGTCTCGAAACTGAAGAGACTGCTTATAATCACTTATAGCTACAAAACAGGGAGAAAGGAAAAAGGTTAACAGGCATTACAAAGGTGAAGTTACTAGACACCATTATTATAGTAACTTTTACATTAAAAGACAGACTAGAAAGCATGGATCATGAACTTAGGCTACATCAAAGACTTGTCAAAGAGGAAACTGCAAAACAGAGTCATAAAACAAGTAAACAAACACTATGCACTAAAAAACTTACAAAGTCAATATAATACCTGTAACAACAATGACAAGAATAACTGCAAAAGCAATGCTTCCCCCATCATACCATCCTTCATTAATACCCTGCAACAAAATTATTGTCAAACTAAAAGAGAGAGAGAAAAGAAAATTAAAAAAAAAAACATATGAACTTGACATGCACAAAAATATAATTCTCTTAATCCTAGACTATAAAGAGAAGGAAAAAACATAGAGGGTGTGCTTGGAAAAGCTATGCAAATTAGATTATATCAATAATCAATTATATGTACAATGGTTTATTATTATAATCGATTCTAATCAGAATAAATTTTTGTTGGGTACATTTACTGAAAAATGACTGATATTTAATTTCAATTGGATACAACAAAAATCAGCTTTTGTGTAGTAAATTAGTTTCAGGAAAGAAAAAAAGTTATAGGACTATAATCATAAGCTTTAAATTTTCAGATTCATGATCAAGACTGGGGACTCTTAGATTTTTTATTTAATTGAACATAAGTAAAATCAAATTAAGTTCAAGAACCATAAATAACTAACTAGACTCAAATTGAAAGATCTTCCACAGGATAGAATGCATTCAAATAATACCATGCACAGCTCAGAAACATCAGAATAACCTAAATATTCATGTAATCATGTATATGGGATGGAAACCTAGAATATAAATAGTTCCAGAACATTGAAAGCTACACGGTTCACCATTGCACTGTATGCTATATTATATATTACACAGAAACACACGCACACACATATATATATATATAGAGAGAGAGATTAAAACAGAGAATCCTGCTATAAAATACGCTATTCACAAATCAAAGAAATGTGTAAGATTTGAAGATTGATATTTTTAGACAAATGGTTAAATTACTAGGAGAAAAAGGGCAATATTAGTATGTTAGTTAAGGTCGGAGCAAAATTTGGAAATTAGTATGAGACATGCTAAAATTTTGGAAATTAGTATGTTAGTATGAAACATGATAACTAACAGCACTCCCAACTAGGTACCCCCCCCCCCCCCAAAAA